AAAGCCCTCCCCTGACAACTGCATGGCACTAGCCACCCTCCCATTCATCCTCTGTGTGGGTATCTCCTCCTTCCAACCCGTGAGTGCCCTGTGTGAGGCAGTCAGCCCTTCCCTGGCCCTGGGTTCTCCGTTTCTGCTTGCTCTCTCCTCTGTTCCTCCCAAGAACTCACTGCTGTGCCATGGAATCTGTTGTTTCCCTGCTCTCTGAGGCTGCTTGGACTGCTGGAGTAGCACACCTTGGGCACGGAGGCCTATACCCTGCGCCCGTGTTTCTGGAGGCTAGGCCGCGGAGCCTCTGCGTGGCGGGACCTTCCTGCTTTGCAGGGGGCTGTCTCCTCCCTTATCTTCATGCAGCTGTAGGCAGATGGAGAGATGCTTTGTTTCGCCCTCTTTCTTATCATGGGGCTTCTCCCTGACGACCAGATTACCTCACTAAGACCCCATTTCCAAATGCCATGGCACTGGGCATTAGATTTTGGTGTATGTGTTCTGGGGGGTACTCTTGTGCTCACAGCCCTGTGTCTGTGTACTGTCTCTCCTGATCAGAGTGCAGTGTCTAAGGGGTCTCTGTCGCTTCTGTTCACTGTGATGTTGCAGTGTCTGACAGTGACCAGCACATAGTGGGTGCAGAATCAGTATACTCTGAGGAACTGTTATGGCCGGAATTGTGGCCCTCTCTGGTTTACATGCAAAAGCCCTAACCCCCAATGGAGTGTCTTTGGAGACAGGGCCTGCGAGGCTGTCACAGGGTAGGGCCCTCATCCGACAGGGCTGGTGTCCTTTTAAGAAGAGGAGGAGACACCAAGGCTGAATGTGTCACATAGGGAAGGAAGGACCATGTGAGAACACGGTGAGAAGACAGCCACGTGCAGCTTAGGAAGAAAGCCCTCACCGGGCACCACCCTTGACCTTGAAGTCCCGATCTCCAGAACCGGGAGCAACAAACCGTCCAGTTTCAAAATCCCCCAGTGTTTTGCGACAAACAGAAAGAGGAAGGAAACCACAGCTGAGTGGCAGAGCATGCCTGGCTATTTACACAGGACGCTGGGGCAAGGATCCTGGAGAGGGACACGCCAGCTGGATGGGCCAAGGCCCAGGAGGAAGTGAACCTGTGCAGGGGCAGAAAGGAGACACGAGGGAGGTGGCAGGAGCCAGGCCTTGGAGGCTGCGCCACCAGGAAGTGAGTGTAGATCTCATTGGGAAGCCACTGGGAGGCTTGAAGGAAGGTAACAAACTATGATTTTAGAGGCCACAAAAGGGTTCCTTGGTGCCTGAGTGGAGGATAGGCTTCAGGGGGCGAAACTGTGAGCTCCTGGAGCACAGGGATGAAGGCGGGCGCATCCTCGCTCTAGCCCCGGGCGTGTGCCTGGCTCTGGGTGCTCAGTGTGTGGTGGGGCATGTGCTAACTGGAGCGCACTGCAGGTGCTTTGTTCTTGTTCTCTATACGTTGGGGGGTGGGCGGCTTTCCTCTGCGGTGCTCTTTTTCCTTCCCTCCATTTTCCCAGGGGTCCATCTTTTGCATTTAGCTAGGAGGGAGCTCTGTTACCTGGGGGAGGGGCTCATAGTCCTAGGCAGAACGGGGACTCCCAGTGCCAGCTTCCAGGGGTAGAGCAATAGCCTCGGAAACCTCCGCGCTCAGATCTGTGTCACCGTCCCAACCAGACCCTTGTTGTGTGCAAAGCCTTCCCTCTGCACAGAGAGCCCGAGGAGGCCATATTCGGGCTGAAGCCGGAGTGGGCTGGCTGGGTGCTGGGCCCTGGCACTGAAGCTACTTCCCGGCTCACCTCCCAAGCAGGAGGGCGTCTTAGGGGAAGGCAGAGGCAGCTCGTGATGCTTTGCTCTGACTCTGGCTCCTGGGCTGGGCTCTGAGCCCAGGTAGTTTAATGCCACTGTGGACTTGGAGGCGTGGGGACCTCTGGAGAGTTCCACAGCCCCATGGGGTAGGGCGCCTGGTGCTGGCCAAGGCCACGCCTTCAGCTGGCCACATTTTATCATTGCTGGCCACTGCCTGCCCTCTGGGTCGCTGCTGTTAGTTCCTAGCGGGGCTCAGCTTCCCACAGATGGTCTCCATAGCTCACCCCAGCCTGTGGATGGGGAAAAACGGCAAGCCCTGCTGGAATACACTTTGGGAACAGCCCATGGTGGACTGGTGGCTGCAGGAGCTGCCCCTCACCCCTCCACAAGTGAAGAGGAAGGCACCACTGGCACGCAAGAGTCTTTCATGTGCCCCATGCCTCCCATGTGCAGCATGGGTGTGCACGTGTGAGAGTGGGTTCATATGCCCACGTGTGCACACTTGTGTGTGTCCCACAACCCTCCCCGGGCTCACATGCACATTCCTGTGTGTCTGCTCATCGGCCTGTGTATTACTTGATCCAACCCAGTTTATCAGTTTATCAAAGACCCGTTACTGAAGGTCTGCTACGGGCCAGACCCTGCAGAACACTGGGGGATGGCAAACTCGATGCTTTCTTTGCTCTATGGACAGTTCAGTCCAACAGGGGAGGTGGATATGAATTGAGCATCTAAAGGTTACGTATAAACTGACAATGTGAGACACGCTTCTGTGAGTTTCATGTGTTGGTGAATGTGCACTTCTGAGGGGCGTCTGTGTCCCTGGGAGGGAACTTGCATCTGCTGGTGCTCCTGTGCATGCCTGTGCACACCACTGCCCGCTCCTGCGCACCTCATCTCTGCAAGAGGACTGCAGAAAAGAAGGCTGGATATGCACGACACACTGAATCTGAGGATCTGGAAAGAGAGAGCAGGAAGCAATGTCTGAGGATGTCCTGGAGACTGTTGATGGACCCCAGGAGACACAGCCATACATAGGACTCTCAGGTCCCTGAAAGATCTGATGAGTGGCCTGGTGGGACCACTCAGAATCTGGCCATCACTCTCACTCTGCTCTGACCAGTGCTATGAACTCAGGCTGTTATCTTGGTTTTCTTGTTTGTAAAATCATGATCGTAGACTAAAGAGTCCCCCAAGTGCCATTGAACCTTGAAATTCTATGAGTCTGGACATGACCCCTGCTGGTTAGGGAGTGTATCTTACAAATAGGGGTCAAAGAGATACCTGAGTACATCACACACACACACACACACACACACACGCGCGCGCGCGCACGCGCACGCCCATGTGCACAGATATGGAAATGTAGAAGGTTGAGTGAAGGAACTTCCAAATAACTAGTCAGAGGAGGCCTCTTGGAGGCATTAAAGATAAGATTGGAAAGATTGATCTTGGCGGGGAGGGGAGAGGAGGTGGTGAAGGCGAAGAGAGCTGCTGGGGACATCGTAGGCTGCGGGTGAGTGTTGGCTTATAACTGCGGGGGGCAGCCAGGGCTTTGTTTGCACTTCCAGCATGCAAACCAGAGGTGTGCGAGTTGGCTCAGGCTGCCCTATGATGAACCTCCAAGGGGCTGGGTGGCTCAAGGAATTCCCAAGGCTGGAGGTCTGAGATCAAGCTGTCAGCGGGATTTGTTCCTTCTGAGGCGTCCTCTCCTCTCAGCTTGCATGTGGCCATGTGGCCGTCTTCTCCCTGTGTCCTCACATGGCCATATTTCTGTGTGTCTGTGTCCCAGGCTACTTTTCTTAGCAGGATGCCAATCATACCGGATGGGGCTGCTTTAGTGGCCTCCTGTTGTCTTCACGGCCTCTTTAAAGGCCCTATCTTCAAATATAGCCATGTTTTGAGGCATTAGTGCTCCATACTTCACCAAATTTTGGGGGGACACAATTTACATATAACAGGGTGGCAGAAACTTCTTCCAGTGAGATGAGACACAGGAAGAGCAGCTTGTTGGCAAGTGTGGAAGAGAGTTGCCTCTTTCCACCTATGGATGTGGAGTGCTGCCCAGAGAGGCAGGTGAGTGGGGCTTGCCCAGGACCTGGCCAAGGACCAGCCACTGCATCCCTGGTCTCTTTAAAATGAGGCTGAACCTGCCAGTGCCCTACTACACACGGTGGTGGGGTGAAAGGAGCTCATAAAGTTCAGAGTGCTACGCAGACAGTCATCAGAATTTAACGTGAGTAATTCCGTGTTGCTGAATGCAGACCGAGCTGTGCTAAGAGCTGTGCTTTTATGGCAGGGTGGATTTGCAAGTCTTTATTCTCACAGGTTGCCTGAGCTGATGGAATGGGGGAATGCAGCCCCAGGCCCAGGAAGAGACCCATACTCTTTTTCCCTAATTATATCAATGGCAGAAATAAAGCTCTGATATTTGAAGTGATTCAGAGTCCCCAAGCTGGTATCCAGGGCTGATGGCTTGTACATTCTTCTGGATTTTGTGCAGGCTGAAATTGCATTTATTTTAGAGATGTTTGAGAGGTGCATTTATTTTCTAGTTGTTAGGTTTTTGCTTTCCTAAGCGGATGGAAGCTCACACAGGGTGGGCCGTGCCGAGGGCAAGGCTGAGGAGCTGAAGGTAGGGTCTCGCTGTGGGGGTTACTTTTGCTGTTGATGCTTTGCTGTTCAGTCCTGACTCAACTTTAATGGGGGAGAAATTTAGGGCAGGTTGAGAGGAGAGTTTTTGGCATCCTGGAAACGTGCCATCTGGAGGTTGCTGTTTTCACAATGATGTGTGACACACGTGTTCTCGAGCAAGGCCCCTGAAAAGAGCAAGGGCTCCTGGGGCTGCCAGGCATACCTGGGCCTCCCTGGGCCTCCCTCATGGTTCCTGATCCCACATCCTCCCTGATTCCCCAAAATTATTTCCCAATGTGCCTTCCAGACTCAAATGACCCCACCCTGCCTGCCCCACCAGGACTCCCCTCAAAAGAAACAACTTTAGGGAAAAAATGAAGCTGTTTTAAATATAAATGGCCAGGGCACAGTAGGCTCTTATTAAAATACAGAGAGATTAACAAGGTCTCATTCCCCTCAATTATTAACAATGTACTTGTTCTTCAGAAAAGTACCCATGAAAATTTAAAACAGATGAAAATGGTTGTTCATTTAAAACTGCTCAGTTAATCTGTGAGTAATGTTTTATTCAGTGCATTAAATGAACAGCGCAGCATTGGACACCTGCTGATCCATCACCCCCAGCCCAGGCAGGCACGTGGACGCAGAGAGATGGAGAAGACCAGGCACGGGACTGAGGAGGGCCACACCACCAGAAATCCCCCTCTGAGTCCCGGTCCAGCCCCACACCTGTGGGTGCATGTGGAGCTGCAGGCAGGGCTCCTGCTTCGGACAGAGGAACAGGCAGGGAAGTTGCTGCCTCACGGGTGGAGGAGCCAGGGCGGGGAGGTGGGGAGGCCTGTCTAGCCCCTGTTACTGTTACCACCGGTGGCTCCTCACTCGCCAGTGCGGCTTCGCCTCAGCTTCATTAATAGGGGAGGGAGCTAAGAGTTTTCACATCCAGGTGTGGACAGTGGGGAGACAGGCAGGAGTGGCCGCTGGTTTCTCAGACCTCCCAGAGAGGCTGAGGCAATGGGCCGCCCTGAAGCAGGCACGATTCTGTCTTCAGATGGACACTGGAGGGTCACACTGCGTGGGACGCTGGGCCCTGGCTCTTCTGGGAGGAAATACTGCCCAGGGCTGCACATGTTCACTGTGTTTTTTGTATACTTGATATTTTTTTCTTCTCTTCACTCTGTCATGAAACCAGCCACAGTAGGCAATAAATAAATACATGTTACAGATGAATGTTTACTGTGAGTGAATTAACAAAGGAGTGAATAAATGGACAATTGATGTAGGGCCTGTCCTGTCTCAGGGACTCTCATAAAGTCCTCCACGCTGGGCAGAGCCTGCCTTCCTGCCAGGGTATCGGGATGCGACTCTCAACGCGGCAGGACCAGGACACTGATTCTGCTGAGGAGGCCCGGTCTCAGAAAACTGAGTGGCTGCTTCTGCAGACCCCGCATCCTCCACTTTCTGGAGGAAGGAGAAGCTCCGGCTGGGTCCTGGGACTGAACCCTTGGGTGCACAGAAATGGGCTTGGCTGTCTGTCAGTAAAGTGGCCAGAAACACAGACCTGGGGAGGAGGAAGCTGGGCGGGCGGCGTTTTCTGCACAGCGACCTGCTCCTTCGCCTGATGCCATTACTCTTCAAGTACCCTGAAGATTGAGCCCGGGGTGAGGATGGGTAGGCAGTTTTTGGGGGGATGGAGTGGGCTTGGAGAAATGTTGGTGCCTTAGCAGGCTGTGCCCCTGAGAAGCCAGTGTCTACAGCTCAGGTATTGGGCTGCGTGCACAGAAACATGCTGCTGAGGGCATTTGGTGTGGGTAGGGCTGGGAAAAGGAGCCAGGGCTGCCTGTTTTAATGGGTGTCTGCAGGCATGCAATCACAAGAGAGGAGGAAGTAGAGAAGGAGAAGGGAGGCCTCCTTGGGAGGTGCGTCATCCTGAGGAAGGCTGAACAACGAGGGTCACGGAGAATCAACTCAGGACCACAGCCTTGCGGAGTGGGCAAAAACAACAGGGCTTCTTGAGGCTGCTCGGGCGTTCACGCACTCAGCAATGCCTGCTGTGAGTGAGCCTACATATTAGGGAAGAGGGACAATGACCCCAAATGAGGGACTCTGAGTCAACGACAAGATTAAACAAAGTTAAAACAAAGTAGGAAATCAAGAGTGGCTGCTGTGACGGCCTCGTGGAGATGACATTAGTGCTGAGAACCAGACAAGTGAGCCTCTGAGCCGCATCTGCACCCTGAGGCTGAGCCGGCGCACAGGCCCTGCAGAGGGCCTGGACTGGGCTTCTAGATGGCTCCAGGCCTAGAGGAGCAAGGTTGGGAAGTGGGCAGGCCAGCTCCTGCCAGGCAGGAGAAAGACTCAGACCTCATGCCTCCTGCGCCTGGGTGATTGTGAGCACGTAACAAATGTGATCTTATTTATGTTTTGAAAAAGGCAACATGAACCAACACCAGCCTGCGAGGAACAAGCGGCAGCCACTCAAAAGCCGACCCACGGAGCAAACCTGGAGCAGTGAGGACGGGCACTGTGAGGAGGGCGTGCAGCCAGAGCCGCAGTTGGACCTGGTCAGATCAGAGGAAGGAGGGCTGCCAGGCTGGGGGCGAGGATGAGACACTGGAAAGAGCAGAGAAAAGGAGGCTGCCACATTCTGTTTCCCAAAGTCACCCCAGGAACAAGGATGTCATTTACTGAAATGACAGACTCTCCATTTCACATTTTCCCCCCAAGTGCAGAGTGCAGGGAAGCAGATGGGCTAAGTTTTTAGAGTTAGGGTTATTAATGTATACTTTACTTAGTAAAATTCACCCTTTTAAGTGTGCAGGCCTGAGGTTTGCCAAATATATGTAGGCATTTAATCACCACCATGATCACGATGTATATTTCCACCACCCTGACAAAGTTTTCTTGTGTCCCTTGATGGTCATTGCCCATTTCCCAGCCCTATCCCTTGGAAACTGCTGTCTGCTTTATGTCCCAGTGGTTTTATCTTTTCCAGAATATCACGTGAATGGAATCAGATGTATGAAATCCTATAGTATTGGGTCGTCTGAGTCTAGCTTCTCTTATTTAGTGTAATGCATTTAAAATTAATCCATGTCTCAGGCATCAGGAGTTCATTTCTTTTTCTGCTGAGTGGTATTTCATCGTATGGATATACTGCAATTTATCTATCCATTCACCTGGTGATGTGCATTTGAGATTTTTGGCCATTATGAATAAAGCTGCTATAAACAATCACACCTGGATTTTATGTGGACACACATCTTCATTTCTATTGAGTAAATAACAAGGCATGAGATTTCTGGGCCATAAGGTTAGTGTGTATGTCACTTTATAAGAAACTGACAAGCTGTTTCCAAAGTGGTTGCTCCATTTTGCATTTTCATCAGCAGTGTGTGAATGTTCTGACTGTTCTGTGTCCTTTCCAGCACCTGGTGTACCCATTTAAAAGACTTCAGCCACTCTAAATAGGTATGTAAGACTGGACTTAAATTTAAATTTGAGAGGCGTCAATATATGTGGGTGTGTCTTTCACACCTCCACAGTCATGGACCACATGCGCTCATAAGGGGTGAATACGTACAGCAGCTGAGAAAGGTCTGAGCAGAAGTACATGGGCAGGGTGCCCAGCAAGACAGAAGGAAATCAAGGAGCATGTCCTATGGTCAAACCAAGAAAGGATTTTAAAAGGAGAGCGTGAGCTACTAACCAACTGCTGCTGAATGGCTGCATAAGATAAAGAATGAAAATTGAGCCCTGGATTTAGAAAGATGGCCGTTTTTGCTGACCTTGACAAGAGCAGTTTCAGGGTTGCAGCAGTGATGAGACCTGCATGAGAGGGAGTTCAGGAGGGCAGGGACTTGGACAATAGGACTGCCTCCTCATCCAAGATAGGGCAGTGTAGTCTGCAGGCTGCATCTCCAATTTTCTCCTTTTTCCTTAGTAATAGAAATCTAAATTTATTTGGGATGGCAATGTGCCCAGATGAAAAGACTACATTTCCAGCTCTCTGGAACGACTCCACCTAGACATGCTGGTGATACTTGTTGAGTGGACTTCCATGAAAGCTCCTTAAGAGGGGAGGAGGTGATAGTTGGCAATGATCAACTTGCCTTTCCCTGTCCTCTTTCCTGGAATTGGGAGGACGTACTGACTGCATGCGGCCAGGGGTGTTTACAGGACCTTCAGCTTGGATGACCTTGAGGATGGAAGCCAGCTTGAGGATGGCAGAGAAGGAAGACAGGAGTTCTTGAGATCCCTGATGGAGCTGCAAAGCCAGCCTCCAGCCTACCCCTCCTTATGTGGTTACGCCAATGCACTTAAGTCTATTAGTTGAACAGACCCTCCTCACTGACACAGACCATAAACCTCAATATGAATGCATCAATTCTCTCTCATTAATCTATAAATTTAATTTGGTATCCAAATCTGTACAGAAATAGCATGTTTTGGAATTAGTCAAGCTGTTGCTAATATTCAGATAGAAAAATAAACAAGTTAGGATTGTTCAGGAAATTTCAGAACAGATGTGTATTAGCAGGTAAGGAGGGTATAGCTGTATGTTTTAAACAGTGTGGTGCTGGTGCATGGGTAGCGAATCTAGTCAAGGGAACAGAATGTAGAGTCCAAAAACAGAACCAGATACGGAGAGAATCTGAGATTGATGATTCTTTCTCAGACATTCTTTTTTTTTTTTTTGAGACGGAGTTTCGCTCTTGTTACCCAGGCTGGAGTGCAATGGCGTGATCTCGGCTCACTGCAACCTCCGCCTCCTGGGTTCAGGCAATTCTCCTGCCTCAGCCTCCTGAGGAGCTGGGATTACAGGCATGCACCACAATGCCCAGCTAATTTTTTGTATTTTTAGTAGAGAAGGGGTTTTACCATGTTGACCAGAATGGTCTCAATCTCTTGACCTCGTGATCCACCCGCTTTGGCCTCCCAAAATGCTGGGATTACAGGCTTGAGCCACCGCGCCCAGCCCTCTCAGACATTCTTAAACACGTGGGAAAAAGATGGGTTATTCAGTGAACAGTGTTGGGACAATAAAGCAGCCATCTGAGAAGACTGTTGTTGAACCCATAACTGAGCTATTAATGGACATCTTCAACTGAGATACTTTCCAAATGAATCAAAGATTTAAAGGTTGAAAAAACCAAAGCCGTATTACTAGAAAACTTAAAACACAGGAGAGATATTTATAGTCTCAGAGTAGTAAAGACCTATGACAGTAAACAAAGGAACCTCAGAAATCATAAAATAAAGGCTGATAAGTTTGACTACCTAAAAAAAATTCCTCATGACAATATTCACCCATAAGCAAAACCAAATAAACAACACACTGGAAAACAAGTTTGGAACTCTGATCACCCACTAAGGTCAATTTCTTTAATACATACCGAGCTCCCCAAAAATAAGACTGAAAACTCAAAAACAGGCCAAGGATTCAAGAGACAATTTACAGTAAAGGAAATACAAATAGCTCTTAAATGTGAAGAGATGCTCATCTTTACTGAGATGAAGAGAAACACAAATGAAAGCTCCCTGGAGATCCCCTTTCTCACTCAGCAGACCCTTAAAGCTTGGGAGCTGGGTGACACTGCGTTGGCCATGGTTTGCACATGCAGGCCTCGTCATACCTTACTGACGAGAGCGTAGACTGGCAGAACCCGGGAACTTTAGCAAGAACTGCCTGATGTTAGAGCATCACCCCCCAGCATGCTAACCACCTTTTCATGTTGTCCTGAGAAACAGGGGCTCCATCTTTACTTCCCAGAGGCTCAGAAAACCTGGGGACAGTTAACTGGTGCCAAACCAGGAATGAACTCAAGCCATTGTATCCAAAACCAAGTAGAAGGATGAGTGGAAGGATGAAGGGTACCCTCAGTCTATCTTCCTTCCTTCTTTTCTCTCTTTGTTCTACCTTCTCTCCTACGCAAATAAATACAGAGTACTTGATTGACCTGTGCCCAGAGAAGTATAATTAACTCCTGCCCTCAGGCTTCTAGTTGGTTTCCTACAGATCTGAAAAGCTGAGGGTCCAGGCCGGTGTAGACTGTGGGCCCCTAAGTGGGACTGTGAGAGAATCTGGGCTGTGTGGACTGTCTTTCCTTGAGTGTTGCTGAGAACAAGGCTGCCTCTCCACCATTCTAAGAGAAGCAGACTCTTCTCTGGATGCTGTTGGAGGCCCTGGAGTTCAACATACCCTCCACAAGCCATTCCAGCAGAAGCTCGAGGTGAAGACCAGGTCCTGTTTTGACTTTGCTGCCTCTGAGATGCGATGTGACCATCCTGTCCCATTTTATTTCCAAATCCTAATGTGGTTTTGCCAAGAGGCACCCAACATTCCTCCAAAATCTTCTTCCAACCCAACCAGACAATACCCACTCCAGCCAAAAACCAAACCAAACTAAACCAACTAGCATACCAACCACACGCGCACACACCTGCACACACAATACACACACATGCACACATGCATGTGCACGTGCAGAAACAAATGCCTGTCCTGTCTGGTCCAGTTCAGCGTGGGTGGTTTTCCCCAGCTCTGCAGGTGATGTTCTTGTCTGTAAGAGCGAGAGCCATGTGGGGCCGCAGAGGAGCTGCCCTTCTCTTCTGGAGAGAGGACCCCCTGAGGGGATGCACTGCTCCAGGGCAGGACAGTGAGGGCTGGATGGGGGGTGCGTAGCTCCAGCACCCTGCCCTGAACAGGAGCCAAGGACTGTCGGCAAGCAGAGCCAAGGGCATTTTTATTCCTGCTTTCAGCGCCACATGGTGCCTCCCCACCATTCTAAGAGCAGCAGACTCTTCTCTGGACGCCTTTGGAAGCCCTGGAGCCCAAGACGCCATCCACGAGCCAGTCCAGCAGAAGCTCGAGGTGGAGACCAGGTCCCGTTTTGACTTTGCTGCCACTGAGCTGAGACCTTGTTATTCTATGGGGGGAAGTTTCTCTGGCAAAGAAGAGTGAGGCTCAATCAGCTGTTCTAGGAGGAAAGAGTAGAGCTTGACCACCAGGGAGCCAAGAGGCCATCAGCAGTGGGTCCCATCAGTATTGGGTCCCAGAGGGTGAAGGGACAGGGAGTGGGGCATAGGGAGTGCAACCTGCCAGGTCCCCTGCAGAGCCCGGAAATGCTGCCTGTGCCCCTCCAGGCGTGAAGGGGCGGGCCAGTGAAGGTCTGTGGGTGAAGGCGGGAGAACACGCTGGGAGGTGCCTATGCCGCATTGGTGCGGGAAGTCTGTGGGAAGCAGCTGTGTGTGGGGCAGGGTGGAGGCCCAAGAGGCAGGTGCCATTCACCCATCTCTTTGCTGGTGCTCAGTCCTGTACGGCAGCTTCCTTCAGCTTTTCTCTTCTCAGAAATATTCAGTGTGGTCATGAGCCCACACTTCCCATAATGTGGATTTGGTGTTTCACCT